TAGATAGTGAGTGAGTGAGGGAGTGAGTGAGTGGGAGGAAGTGATATATTGAAAATTATCTGACCCAAATCTATAGGAATTGGTAAATCCTTAGATACATATAAGCAAATAAATACTCTGGATATAAGATATATATGCATGTATATATGCATACATATATATATATATATATATATATATATATATTAACATATATACTTAAAGAAACATACATAAGTACATACACGCGTATGCATACACACACACACACGTACATACTCCTGTTCGCACAAAATACAAAGAAGCTAGTGGATGTGGATTTCAAACTACTACCCACGTTCTGTTTCCATGTCTGTAACCCGCTTGCTAAAACAATATACTATTCAATATTTACACGAACTTTGAAGTCAGATAGATATGCATGACTAGTAACCAGAAAAGAATATCTTTGAAAGGCAGAACAGCTAGATTCACCTTCAACCGTGAGTTCTTTTTTTCAATATTTCATTTCTTGAACTTCTCGCCTGTAGAACAAAGATATATATATATATATATATATATATATATATATATATATATATATATATATATATATATATAAAAGAAAGAGGTTGTAGTGGTTCCAACGAGAGAAAAAGTATGTATATTAAAAAGAAGAGAAGAGATGTGCCGCAAACGTTTTTAGTTGTAATGTGGATTTATTTAGAAAAAAAAAATATGCTTTGTTTTACATAATTGTACTACACGTGTTTCTGGTCTCGTGACCGTCTTCGGGTAAAAGTGGAGATTTCCACATATTATTAAAAATAATTAATTTTTTCTTTTGTTTTTCAATCTTAAATATTCTCGATATGAGACATTTTCTGTGTTAGTAATCCGAATTTCTTTTATCTCTGACCTATTGCTAAACATTCTCTAACAATATACGGGGTGTATCAAAAATAATTTTACAAACTTTGGAGAGCGTTCCAGGTTCCTCACACTAAAACAAGAATAAAAGTCCACATAAACATATGTCCGCAAATCTGTCGTCTTTGAGTTTGATATGTCCCGGAAAGGGATATATTTGTTCGAAGTAGCAAAGTGGTTGTTGACTACTGTAACCGGGTAGGACAATCTAGCAGGTAACCGTAATGGACTGGTCCTTGTTGTAGTGGTAGGCAATAGGCGTAGGCAATAGGCGAAGACAATAGACGTTCTCCATATTAGTCTGTATTTATGGCTGACACCAGCAAATAATATTACCGTGAGGGGGAACTCAGATGTATGCATATTCATTACATCAGAGTTATTCAGTTCAAATAAAGTTTACGATAGATGGCGCTGTGTTGTAATGTAGACTGGGTTACATTTGCCATTTGTGCACATATGTGGTTAGTCTTGTGGAAGTTTTCCATATAACAATGGCAGGATATTCATACCGTGAGCAGATAGATATGATTTTTAAATTCGGACGCGCAAATGGTAATAGATGCAAGGCTTCACGTCTGTATCAGACTGCGTTTCCAGACCGAACCATCCAACCGTTGCTGCTTTTTTTTTATTGCTGGGACAGGATGCTTGACACCACAAACTATGCATCGAGGAAGACCGAGCTCTGCTCGTACGCCTGAGCACATGTTGTCAGAGATGATCCAGATATCAGTACACGCCAAGTGGCCCTAGCATGCCGTACATCTCATAGTACCGTATGGTGGTTACTTCATGACCAGCTCCTGTGTCCGTATCATTTGGAACATTTGCCGGGTCTTTCGCCCTCTGATCACTCACCACGAGAGAACTTTTGCCGCCGATGAATTATCGTACAGACACCAGATCATTGTTTGTCTCTTCTGTCTTCTTCCCTAATGAGGCAACTTTTGGAAGAGTTGGAATAACACATTTTTGTAAAAGTATATATATATATATATATATATATATGTGGGGGGGTGTTATGGTCCAGGTTAGGACCAAGGAAGAACAACACGAACACAAGAGTAGAAATAATGAAGGTATATTACACGAAATAATAATACAAGATGTGGAAGGTGTTAGTATGACTGTCAGTCTGGTTTGGAGTGAACTACTATCGGCTCGACTCGATTCGGTATCTAGCCCCCCCCACACACACACACACACGAGGGTTGCATGTGGCCACAAGGCCGAGTTTCAGGTGGGTTTCCCGAGCCCGTAGGCTCGGCCAAAAAATGCCCCTAGAACCCGTATAAACGGGATCGAGTTGGTCAACCTCCCCAAACGAGACTCTGCCCTTCGGCGGAGCCTCGTCCGGGTTCCTCTCTGCTCAGAGGCCGAGAGTTCGACCGTCAAGCCGAGAAGCTCGGCTTGATTCGACCCTCTCTCTTTAGAGGCGTAGTATACATAGTGTTAGGAAGAGTTCATTCTGTAGTTATAAGTAAGGACCCATGACAATATATATTGTGTATTTAGGCAGCAATTCTTCAATTATGCATGTTTCATTAAAAACAGCAGACAAGGTAATTCGGTTAAGCTTTTTATTTAATGTTTCTTGTGTTCGAACAAGAGCTTTCTTTTTTGGACACAGAATGTGTAGAAATGTTCAAATGCTCGGAACTATAGAACATTTGGACAGTTTCAACACACTCTGTGTCCAAAAAGGAAAGCTCTTGTTCGAACACAAGAAACATTAAATAAAAAGCTTAACCGTAGTAACTTGTCTGTCCTTTTTGGTGAAACATGCATATATATCTGTGTGTGTGTGTGTGTGTGTGTGTGTGTGTGTGTATGTGCATACGCTCTTACAGAAACAACTATAAATACATACACATGCCTACACGGACATAGCGAGAGACGAAGATAATAGCTGAGAGTTAATGTTAACAGGGGCAGAGAATGGCTCGTAAGTTTTAACGCCTCTAAACAAAACTACTTTCATTTAATCACCACAGAGTTTTATGATGTCAACGAAGACTTGTTCCCATTTTTGTAACGTCAACGAATACTCGTTGTCACTTTCGTAATGCTCGTTGTAGTAGAGACTTTGTAATCGCAGATAAAACTATATCAACGCCATTGAACAATGCTGGTGTCAGACGCCTTCGAATATCAGTCGCAATAATAGTACTTGATCGATAATACTCACTCGAATAGTAGTCCGTATAGTGATCCGAATAGAGAAATAGTATAGTGAAGAGAACCGAGAATAGCGGTCCGTATAGTAATAGAGGATAGAGTAGAAATAGCGATCCGTATAGTATAGAGGATAGACTAAAAACAGCGACTATTTAAACCACATGACTTCCTACATATGCGTTTTTCTCTATGATCACGTGATGCACTTAATTCAATAATGGGATCGCCTATGTTTACTCACTGGCGATCTAGGTTCAAACTCAAGTGTCGGCAGTGATATTTTATTCCTATATAACACAGAGAACTCTTTTTTGTCTTCCAACTGCATGGCTGATTTTAGCCTCCAGTAGAGCCACTCTTTGTAGCTTCTTAGTTTCAAGTTTTATGCTGATATCAAGTGAAGTGATTATATTGAATCAATCGCTAGTTCTTCTGTTAGGAAAGTTGGTGCACTATGCAGCGCCAGACCTTTCTACTCGTTAAAATCTACCTTACACATTTACAAATCTATCGTTCGTCCGTACATTGGATTTTGCAGTCGTCACTAGTTTGGTGCTCATACTATTATCACAAGATTCTTGACAAAATCTAAAGAACTGTCTACAATGTAATCGAATCCGGCATGGCACATCGACTCTAGTCACTTTCCCGCCGCGATGACGTGGCTTCTTACTGTATTTTCTACAAATATTTTCATGGCAATTGTTCTGATGATCTTTCCTCCTCGTTGCCTGAACTGTCTCAATTTAACCTTACTACTGTTTTAGCAAATAGTTTTCACTGTTTTACTGTTGAACTAGCTCGAGGCAACCGTATGTTCTATTCTAATAGTTTCTTTTCTTGCACTTCTCGCCTGTGGAACCCCCTCCCGATTTCGTTCTTCTATCGCATCTACAACGTTCATAAATTTAAATACCTTCTTTCTTCCTGAAACCTGTTCTTTTACTCTCCTTTCTCTAATGTCTTCTCTTTCTCTAGCACTCACCCTAACCTCTTGCGTCTTAGTGGCAATGTCGCCTTCCTTGGAGTGAAATTATTAAAAAAAAGGTAATAAGTAATCATAAGAAAATTCTCTTAGCATAACCAGCTTCATTAAATGATTGGCTTGTTTGTTTTTTTACTGATTATCAACCTTTAAAGATTGTAAAAAAAATTTGGAGATATAATAACGATTTACTGATAATAGTTCTACTAATTAACCCATAGATGAGGGATATGAAGTGGATGTATACATTTCACAAAGCTATTTACGCGTAAGTGGTCATAACGAACCTGAATTGTAACTCGGCACCCCGAAGTCCAAAACCAAGCCTATATCCATAACACCAGCCACATATCCAAACTCAAATCGCCTAGTATTGTCAACAGGTCACTCATCTAGATACTGATCAGGTTCAACGTTGCTTAACTTCCATGATCCTATGAGAACCCTGGCCAGATTTAGTTTGAATAAAATACTCATATATGCGTACATAGAGATAAAGTAATAAATATATACATAATTATTACGTCTAGTTTTTGTTTTGTTTTGTTTTTTGTGGGTTTTTTCACCTATAAAATGTTAAATTCTCATCTTGAAAAAAATAACTAAAACATAGGTTTGAATGAAAATCAACTAGCTAAATAAAACGTAATGAAAAATCAGTGAAAATTACTTTTTCGTATAAAAATTTCGTACGAAATCACAGCCACTGCGGTTCTTTTTAATGCCTTGTCTCTTACGCCTTTTGCCTGTCTATATTTTTGCTATTCTTGCTGATTTAAAATAATAGCCGAGGAACATTATTAGAAAAGATCATTTTAGTTAAATTAATTATCTGCTGTTCCTGTGTGTACAATTTGATTTCATTCTGAATTGTATTGCTTCATATCAACTGAATAATATTTCAATAGGTCAAGATAGAACAAAAGAATTGTAAGACATTGTAAATCAGATAGAGAATGCATTTATAAAAATGAACTGATTGGTACAATATATCATAGATAGATAGATAGATAGATAGATAGATAGATAGATAGGAACTAAGTGTAATGATGGATACCAATACACTTAGATAGATAGATAGATAGATAGATAGATAGATAGATAGATAGATAGATAGGAATTAAGTGTAATGATAGATACCTACACACTGAGATAGATAGATAGATAGATAGATAGATAGATAGATAGATAGATAGATAGATAGATAGGAACTAAGTGTAATGATGGAGACCAACACACTGAGATAGATAGATAGATAGATAGATAGATAGATAGATAGATAGATAGATAGATAGATAGATAGATAGGAACTAAGTGTAATGATGGAGACCAACACACTGAGATAGATAGATAGATAGATAGATAGATAGATAGGAACTAAGTGTAATGATGGAGACCAACACACTGAGATAGATAGATAGATAGATATATAGATAGATAGATAGATAGATAGATAGATAGATAGATAGATAGATTAAAGTAAAGAGGTTTCGGTGTTAGATATAGTTCGTATTGACCATACTATATGGAGTCAAGGTTGTGGGCACTGACAGAAGTGTTCACGTGCGTGCTTACAACCTGCCTGCCAGGTCGGTAAGGAGCTGGGCTAAGGTGGGCCGGGGTTGGACGTCAAGAGAAAATCATATTGGTTGTTCTGACAAGAACAAGGCGAGCGAAGCAAATGTATTATGACTCGTGCACGATTTCCTATCGATTCGGAGCGTCCTGGCTGGAACAGTGACTCACATGCAGACGGTATCGCCAGATATCGTTTCCGTTATTATAGAAAGGCAGAGAAGTTAAGACGAAGTTAGAATAGAGGGGGTGGTTGTCAGGGAGAGAACGAAAGAGTTGTTGTTTATAAGGTGAGTTAGAGTGAGAGGAGACTCTCTGTGTGAGAAATCAAAAATAAAAGCGTGGGCTTCTAAAGAGAGTTGAATTAAGAGATGGAAAAAAATTTGATTTCCTAAAGAGAGTTGAAGTTGGAGGAGTTTAAACGAGAAAGTCAAATAAAGATGTGCGTTTTTTTTTTATATTTTTTAAAAGAGTTAAAGTAGATGTAGGAGGAGAATACAGGTGAGCAAGAGAGAGAGAGATAACAAAAAAATGTTGGTTTATAAAAATGGAAAGAAAAAAAAGAACTCTTTTGCGCTAGAGGAAGAAAAGTCGAATAACTATTAGAGACGATCGACCGAGTAGGGAAAAATAATTGTTGATTGGTGGACTATAATGATGGTGGAAAATACTAAGCGAAAAGACAGAAAAGCAAGAAAGAACGTCGGGACAAAGACAATGTCAAACCGATTTTAAAAATAGACTAATGGAGAAAAAAGACCCTGAGAAGAGAGATAAAGAAGGACACAAATGAAGTAATACATTGTCGCCCCCAGAAATTGAATGAATAAAAGCAAAGAGAATCTAAAACAATAACGACGACAAAGTAGTTAAGAACGTAAGTAGAAGAAAGAAAGAAAGAAAGAAAGAAAGATTGAAAGAAAAATATTAAAATATTAATAAACAACACGATGATGAAAGAATGCATCCATATCCTCTTGGCGTCAATTTAAGCTAACAACTTCTTTTTAATTTTTTTCTATATATTGAAATCACTTTCCTTAAAGTTCGTATCTTTTTAATACTTGCAAAACTTCCAAAATTTCCGACATATTTCAGTAAAACTTTCACTTTCCAAATGCATTACACCTTTTTAACTTTCACTTTCACTTTCCAAAATTATAATTAATTAATAGTTCATTTTCAGAAGCTATAATTAATTTAAAAAAAGGTAGTAATTAATATTTTATATATATATGAAAAAACAAATCAACAGTTTAAACTGAAACCAGGAGGATATGTGTTAAATAATGAGGCAGTAAGTATAAAATATTTTTTAAATGTCTATCTCGCAATGAAAGGAAAATGTCGATAAATATTAGAATGTACAACCTAAGCAGTTTGTTAAGAACACAGGCGGTTGGATGAAAATGAGTTTAGTATGAAAAGAATGATAAAGAGGTTATTATAAAGGAGTGAAGGAAAGAAAAACATGTAAGATGAAGAAATAGGTACGGGTGAGTAAAAAGATACGATCTGTAGATCGAGAAAGAATGAGCGCTAAGAAATTGAGAGAATGTTTGAGAAAGTTTACAAATTACAATGAGAAAGGTGAGAGTAAAGGAAAGAGAATAAAGATGAGGGATATTTAGGCGAGAGTAAAGAGTGTGATAAAGAATGAGAGAGGAAAAAGAGAGTAAAAGGAGAATGGAAGGAAGAAAGGCGATTGGTGGGAATTAAAAATAGAGGGCAAGAGATAAAAAAGGAAAAAGGAGAGACAAAAAGGCCGCTATCTAATACCCAACCCGAAAGAGTAAGGCCTTAAGAAATTTGTTCAAACGGTGCGGAAAAGGGCATTGTAAGGTAAGAAAGAGATAAAGAAAAAGAAAGAGCTTATAGAAAAGATTGAAGATTAACGCGGTTGATTAAATTAGGTTTGGTTTGGTTTATTTTGTTTAACGGCATATCAACCTCAATGGGTTATTTAATGTCGACAACATTTTTAGGATAGATTCGTATGAATAGAATATGTATTCTTTTTGGTTTAGATTGGTTTGGCTTTATTTTGTTTAACGGCATATCAACCTAAATGGGTTATTTAATGCCGACAACATTTTTAGGATAGATTCGTATGAATAGAGTATGTATTCTTTGGTTTAGATTGGTTTGGCTTATTTTGTTTAACGGCATATCAACCTCAATGGGTTATTTAATGCCGACAACATTTTTAGGATAGATTCGTATGAATAGAATATGTATTCTTTGGTTTAGATTGGTTTGGCTTATTTTGTTTAACGGCATATCAACCTAAATGGGTTATTTAATGCCGACAACATTTTTAGGATAGATTCGTATGAATAGAATATGTATTCTTTAGATTGGTTTGGTTTATTTTGTTTAACGGCATATCAACCTCAATGGATTATTTATTGCCGACAACATTTTTAGGATAGATTCGTATGAATAGAATATGTATTCTTTGGTTTGGTTTATTTTGTTTTACGGCATATCAACCTCATTGGGTTATTTAATGCTGACAAAAAATTTTATTGCTGGTAATATTTTGTTTTGTCAAAAATATGTTTCTGGTAATATATTTTTTTCCAAATTGTATTGCCGTTAATAATTTTTTCAAAAAAGTATTGCTGGTAATAGTTAATTATTTTCCCATAGCTGGGACCCTAACAGGTGCTACCAACCCCGGGACAGGGTGGACCTGGGGACATCAGCAATTAAGAGGCAGTTCCACGCTCCTCGAAACCTCCTGATAAGAGGCCTTGCTGTTGGACGTAGTTTATCGTCATACCCAGGACACGGATGTAGTTTATCGTCATACCCAGGACGTGGATATAGTCTGGGTGTTAACTATTTGACGATAGCTGGGACCCTAACACGTGCGACCACCCCAAGTCAGGGCGGACCTGTGAACACCAGCAATTAAAAGGTGGTTCCACGCTCCTCAAAACCTCCTGATCAGAGGCCTTGCTGCTGGACGTAGTTTAACTTCTTACCCAGGAGGCGGATGTAGTTTAACGTCTTACCCAGAACAGATTAAATTAGGAGTATGTGTGTAAAGGAATTGATAATGAGTAAGAAAGAAAAGCAGAAAAATGAGAAGATTCCAAAATGAATGTCCGCCATTTTGGAGTAAGGAATTGAAAAAAAAAATGAACGATTGATTCAGATACGTAAAAATGGTATAATGGCCAGAGTTAAATATATAAATAATTATTTTTTACCGGCAAAATTTTGCTTATATTCTTATGTTTCTTTTGACAAAAAAAGAAATGACCAATTAGCAAAATAAAAACATGACGCATCATCGAAAATTAATTTTTCGAACAACGTTCAAAATCAAACGCAACTCAAGTCGTTTTAATATAGGTACCTCCACTGAATTTTCGATACCTAAGTTTTAACATTAAATTAAAACGGGTAACTGTTTTACAAAAAAAAAGATTATTTACTATCTCCAAAGTGTCCTGTTTTTAACTAATGAAATAATTGCCCCCTTAAAAATGTAATTTCTCGAAATTTCATGAAATTATATAAGTGGGTGCTGTGACGTCTCCCTGGCCTCTCCCGCGCCCGTGCTATCCCGTGACGACCAATGTGACTTGGTATTGGTCGCGGCGCCAAATGTGACGTTCTAACCCTTGGCTGATTCGGATGGGAATCTGGTTAGATTCGGTATCAACTTTGTCGTTCCCAGCTTTCCTCCAACGTCTGGTTTCCGAAGTAACTGCTTTGATTTCTACTCTAACCTACCCACGTTGTGATTTGATCTTAGGTAGACGTAATCAATCAGTCGCCGGGCATTATGCAAGCCCAATTCGAGCAAAGGTGACATCGCACAAGTATATGTAAAAGAAAATAAAGTAACAACTCGAAAGGTTCAAATGTGTTAAAAAAAGAATAACAAATATTTTTTATATCTGGTTGCTGAATACAGGACTGCTTCTTTCTCCCAAACCGTTTCTATGGATACGCGACACTTTGCGATTGTTAGGCGAGTCTTAATATCTTAAGTTGTTTTTAAATAACTGGTTTTTGGTATCTTCAGGCGATATTCGTAAAACTTGCTTTGGTGGTGTGAGTCTAAGTCGTTCTTCAAAAATAAATTGTTTTTGGTTAGAAGTCTAAGTCGGAATGCGTGGATATCTTTCAGTCAGCTTCCTGAGAGGCTGTCCTGCGAGGCTGGCCTGCGAGCTCACAGCTCAACTCTTCTCTGTCACTCTATCTGCGTCCTGCCAACTGCCACCGACTACTCCGTTTATATGGACGCCGACCAAAACCGGGTGGGGGCCTGTCATTATTTGGGTTCCTCGATAATTCCAAATCCACAATAAGGATTTTCTTTGTTTTCGGACAGGAAAATTTATCACTTTCCATATTTGGAAGTCCATTACCAGTGCTTTAGAGGTGTTCTTAAGGGAATCGTTCTCCCAAATTCTTCCTTTCTCATACTGGTATCTCACACCAATCCCCTCAGAGGGCGTCAACAGGTTTCCCTTCTTTCTCATAGTGGTATCTCACACCAATCCCTTCAGAGGCGTCAACAGGCCTCCCCTCCTTCTCATATGTTTACCTTCGCCCACCGCTCACGCCACCACTCAGACAATGAACGCTCGGCAGCGTGGTCGCGGCCAGTCTGGCCTCAGCTTACAATTATCGCTCAAAGAAAAAAAATTGTCTTCCTTTTTCTTTTCTTTCTTTTCCTCGACCAGACCTTCACGACTCGTAGTGTGGTCCTTAATCTCTATCTTAACTGAATGTCATCTGGAATTTATCAACAAGATTTCTGCCAAGTAATATCAGGTGAATCTCTTTGTAAACTCAAGGCCTTCGTACTTCTATCGTCAACAATCTGTCCCGGTAACAAACTTTTATCATGTCCAGGTCTGGACATAAAACAGGTGTCTCTTCCCAAAACCAAATGATATCTTCGAAAGATAGTTAATGGTTTCTTCTTTCCCTTTTTCTCTTTTCCCTTCCTTTTTCTTTGGGGATGGTCGCAGCTGATCTTTTTTCTCGGTCGCATCTTCCACCTGATTACGATTATCTTCCAGCATTTCGTTTTGTAGGCCACTTGACCAATTTGAAATTTTCATTATTGCCATGGGCAGATTGCTATATTTTATTCGCCACGTCATAGCATAAATTAATTCCGACAGATCAGAGATCTTACGAATTTCCTATCTTTCGCAAATAAAAATAAAATCTTTACCACTTTTCTTTGTTAAAAAAATAACATCGCTCAGTATGTCTTTCGTGATAGCTTCTTCTCGCCTTAAGTATTTCTCGCTTTTAATTTTCACGCAACCGCTAAATAGTGTCACAGTGGTAGCATATATAAAAAAATATTTTTACCAAGATATTCTAAAAAGAAAATGCTTTTAAATAATTTTATTCTTTTCTGAATATGTCCTGAAAGTTTCATTAAAATCTGACAATTATTTAATTTTTACAAGAATTTCCAAATCAATATATTTTTAGCGAAAAAAGAAGCCAAAAAATACCTAACCTTTATCTTTGGTGCGCCACTGACTTAAAAAGAAAAAAAAACAAGATTCTTAACCAAAATTTACAACGAGCTACAAAGGAGTAAAGAATTTCAAAAATTAATAAAAATACTTTGGTCTTTCCTCTTAATAATAATATAAACATTTTGATGACAAAACTGTTTTTATTGAGTTTGAGGTTTGTTTGTTTTTCATCACGCTATGCCGTTTTTTACACGACCAAATGGAGTTAGATAGTTAAATGATTTGGCTCTTGCGCCTTTTTACCTGTCCGTGTTTCTATTTTTGTTGATTTAGAATAATAGCTGAGCAATGTTGTTAGAAAAGTGTCATGACAATTTAATAATGTTTTGGAGTAAAGAATTGAAAGAGCAAAAAAAAAAAAAGAACAGAAAAAAGGACGACTGATTGAGATGCGTAAAAATGATATAATGGTCAGATTTAAATCTATTAATAGTACAGTGGCCAGATTTAATATATAAGTGTTATAATGTCCAGATGAAATTCTTTTCCCTAGATATTATACAATTTATGAGTTCCATTTGAGGTCTGGAGTGAACTTGGATGCCAACAGACGTTTGAAGCAAGAAGTATGTAATTGAAAGAGCAACCAATAATAATTATTAGCTAATCACTGTTTACTGAGGCTTGGTTAAGGACCTTTGTTAAGTAGAGCTATGATTCTTCTCATTTTAAATGGGAGAAGTTACTCAGCCCTGAGGATTCCTACCCTGCGACAGCACCTTCCTCATCACACTAAAAAGGTTGGATCGGTGTAATACCGATCCCACCGTGACAGTTGTCGCGGGGGCTGGGCAAAAATTATTTTTTGTCGTTGACCCATATGCGTATGAAGCTCCCCACGTTAAAACGAACTTGTGTCACATCCTTGGAGGGGAGGCCGGGCATATATACCTAGTTGTGGCTTGCTAATGTTCAAGCTCTTTCTTTTCAGAGCTGAGCTATGGTTTATACTGCAGCAACGCTTAATATTCATTAAATAAAGGTTCTGGGAGAGAATGCATAATCTGGCGTTGTCAGTGGTTGAACAAGTCCACTAAACTCACACTCTCTGTTGCGATGACTTTCGACAATCATCACTCAAAAATTTCACTCATAGCGTTTGAGTCAACCCGTGTTATGGTTTCTCAGGTAATTCTTAAACGGACTGAGCGCCGGGGGCGTTTTTACAAGCCAGTCTTATCAGGCTCAACCCCTTCATAAATTCGGTTCCGAGTTACTAACGTTCTAAGCTCCCACTATGTGGAAGATATTTTTTGATAATTTCTAGAATTGTGCAGTATATTCCATGAAGCATTCTTCGTGAGCTTAATGTACACGAATTAGTTCTATATAAGCAACTCGTTGGG